AGCCGGCTCGCGGCTGATGCTGCACCCGAAGATGGCTGAGGAGAGGGCCCCGCTCCTCGGGCTGGGAGGGTGTTTGGGCGGGGGGATGCCTTCTCCGGGTAACGGGGCAGCGGGAACGCTGCTGTGTCTCGCTGGGGTGCGTGCTCAGGGCCCCTCAGAAGTTCTCGGGGTGCGGAGATACACAGCAGCAGGTGGGCGCGTCGTTTTCTGTCGAGGTTCTGGGGAGACGACACGGCGTCGCTTGTCCCGGGGCCCTTGTTCAGAGCGAGCCCTAACTTCCATATGCGGGGATCACATCTCAAAACTTTAGACGTGGATTCTGTGTGCCTCTGCTCAGAGGAAGGAAATTTTAGGTTGCAGGATGTTTCTTGTAGACCCGAGCATCTAAATTGTTTTTTAAAGAATGAAGTGCAGAAAGTGTAAAAAAAAAAAACAAAAAAACCAAAACAAAACAAAAAAAATCAACAAAAAAAAACCAACCGGAAAGCAAAGCATCATTTAAAATTTGCATTGTTTTATTTTTGTGGAAGTTTCTTGTGTTGCTGAAATCTTACAACAGGAAGTACAACCTTGATGGAGGTTCTAAATGCATACTGTAGTATGACATAATATGCTACCATGTGTTCGTGAGTTTTGTTCACAAGTACTTGAAGCTAGCATTTTTGTATATTTTAAGATTAAAGATTATTTTTAAAAATTAAGAGACGAAAAGAAGGCAAGGGTTTAAATTACAAGTAGCTTTGTGCAGGAATAAAACTACTGTAAAACTTGCGGATGGCTGAATGCTGCAAGATTTACACTTTGTTAATGTAGGGAGCTTTGTAGTGTATGTCGTACAGCTAAACCAAACTGGATCCTTTGAATCCGGAGCTGATTTCTAGCTTTCTTCCTGCTGCCCATCCCCTCTGAGAGCTACAGTTTCAGGCAAACTTTAAATGATTGCCCAATTTCTTACTCCCCTCAACACTGATTTTGGTAGATTGCTCATCTGCAGTGCTCTATTCACTACAAACATTGTAGTAGATCTCTTAAATAACTTATTTCTGTTGCTAAATTCTAAAGTAGTTCTAGGAAGGTACAGGAAACTGAAGCACTTTAATGTGTAGATGAAGCTATGAAACAAAGCCAGTCTAGGAAAAACAAATGCCCAAAATGTGTTTATAGACTTAAAATTTCGCTTGCGAGGGAAACAGAGCTTTTTTTCTTGGTTTGTTTGCCAGAAAGTGTTAGGCTTTTGGTAGTTGCTGTGCCTAGTCCTGTACACCTTTGGAACCCTCAGCTTGCTGTGTGGAAAGGTTATCCTGTATATGATCAATAGCAGTACTGCAGAAGATGTTGGAGTCTTCTTTCAAGGTGGCAAAGTATTGCTTTATATGTCTTCTGACAGGGCATTTCAAACGATTTTTTAGTATTTGCTGTTCTGTATGGAACTTCTAGTACATGTAGTTTGGTAGTTGTCTTCATGTCTTTCATCATATTCTGTGAATATGGATAACGTCCGTATCTGTAGAAAGATGGTTTCAACTTGAGAGTGAATTTTGTCACTATTTTGTCACTACATCAGTTGTTTAATGCTCTTACATATATAGTCCTGTTACAAGCTTTTATTTTTTAAATTCTGTGTTTCTAATACAGAAAAGCTGTTGAGAAAAGTATGTTTTTCTACTGAAATCTCATGAAATCTTAGGACATGGAACAAATGCTCAAATACATGTGTTTTCTAAGTGTTCTGAGCAGTTGCTCAGTTGGTTTAACATTTCCTGCTCTCATATTAAAAAGACATGTGAAAACTAGCGAACTGACTTCTTTTAGGACCAGTGTTTGAATTATTATTTAAGCAAAAATTACCTAAATGTTTACTTACCTCAAAATGAGGTTTCCCTATATACAACCACAGATGTGCGTGTATTTCACGTCTTGGAATGAAAGTTTTTACTTTTCATTGCAACTGTGTCAGATGTCTTAAATGTTATGTGAATGCTTTTTCTGATGGCAGAACTATTTAAAGTTACTTCTACTAGAATCACTTCTCGCCGCTTGCTTTCCCGATTGCTTGTTCAGCCCATATGTCATAATTTATCATCTACTAGGTTTTACTCCTACCTCTATTTTTGGGCTTGTTCTGTTAAAAAAAATAGTGAAATAAAAGGAAAAGTACAAATTGTGGTCTGCTGCCAGGAAGATACTGTGTGTGAGAGACATCTAAAATACCTTGCTTGTGTAGAAAGAGCGTGTAGCTGTATCCCTATTGACCCAGTAAGACAGATTTATTCCAGCATCTATAAAAACCATTTTTTTAATGTAGCAATTAGAGAATCCTACTGAAGCTTGAGCTAGAATGCTCAATTAATGGAAGATCTGTTTATGAAATCAGTCTATTTCTTGCTTTTAAATTTAATTTTTTCCATTATATGATTTTCTAAAGGTTTTTCTAAAACAGGAAATTGCAATGATATTAAGAGATAGATGTGGCATTGCTGTATCTAAACCATGACTTTATGAACAGTATCACTGATCCATGTTAGATTTGTATTTTGTTGTCTTGTCTCTAGGAGGATGCAGACGTGTTTAAGCTCTGCAAAATACTATTGGCTTCCATTATCTAACTTTTGTCATATCTGTGAATTGGTCCATCATTTCGTACAAATTTGACTTCAGATAATCTGGTATAAAAGGACTGGATTCTGAACATTCTCCATATTTAACAGTATTTGAGCCTTCTAATTCTCTGCACTTCAGTGTGCCATCCCAACAGCAGGAGAACCTTTTCTGGAAAATTTCTGAGAGCCATCCTCATTATCAGAAGTAAGCTGAATTTGAGCGTATAGTTCATAAACCAAATGAGAAATGCTTGTTTATACATGGAATTTGGTGACTTTATTTTTTTAAAAAAATCATTAATTAAATGAGTTGCTTTTATTTAAAATTATTTTCAGTGTGTGACAATATACTTTAATGTCATGGGAACTCAACAAAAACTACAAGTGCAGTTTAATATATTGTCCAATACTAAAATTCTAACATACAAAAGTACTTTTCCTTTAGCACTTTAATATTTATGTCAAGTTGACAGTTCCTAAACTTCTGACTCCTAACTGTGTGAAGTAGTATTTTGTTTTGCTGTATTTTTGGTTTTGTTGTTGATTCTTATAAATAAGCTTTTTTCCATTGTGTGAGTGAGATTATTGAAAAGCAGTGTGTATTTTGGCTGGTTTTCGAGTAGAAAAAGGATAGACCCAAGTTATTTTTCTCTTCCATGGTTCCTCATCTTCACTTTTAGTGTTCAACAAATAAAACTTCCAGTGATGCTTGCAAAATGAATGTGATTCTATTAACATTGGGAGTTTGTGGCTCTGTGTGATGGATCTGTTTGCTGTATTAATATACATGTGATCCAGATCAGGTGTGGATTTGCAAGTACATTTCTGTTGAATTAGCTAAAGCACATAAGACTGAATGTATGCCAACTGCAGGAGAACAGGCAGTACCTCATTTAGTAGCAAGCCTTTTGGTATGAGGTTAACTCATTAGATTGTATGAATACATTCAAACTGGCAACATGAGTTTATAGGATTAGCACTTTGTCTTGCAGATTATCACATTCTTCACCTAATACAGCAAATTCAGTGTAAAGGTTCTTAGTATCTTAAATGAAAAAGTCAATAGAAAATTCTTAAACTTTCTTTAGCAGTGAATCCTGGGATCCAGGAAGTCACAGACCATATATTTGACAACTATAATTATGTGTCTTCTTTCTGGATAATCGGTTTGCTGGTTTAAATTCAATGGATGCCTTTATACTCATGACCAACAGAGCCACTTTTCCATCCTTGAATAGATCCTTGTGATTTGTACTGGAACATTGGCGTGTCATGTTCTTATATACCTGTTTTTTAACTTAAAACAGAGTACTGCACTTAATCTTTTTCATAGCGGTTCTTCCTGTTCCTTAAGGCATTAACTGGAACAATTCTATTCAGTTGTTCTAAATCTTCACTTCTTAGGCATCTTTTTCTGGTTGCTTTTCTTTTTTTACAGACCTGCATCTTTCTATCTGCTCAGTCAACTGACTCCCACTGCATAGACATCTTTTCAACAGTGTGTCATTGGCAGTACCTGCCTTCCTCCAGGCTTGACTGCACATTGGACTAAAAAGATATACATGCTGTTTGTACCTGTTTGTACCATTACTTCTCTTGTCTTTCCTCCAGAGGATTCTCCTTCTCCAGATTTGCAGACAAAAAAGACTTTAGAAGTCTGAACTTACAGGAGCTCTCAAAAAAGCCTTATTCTCACAAACAAGTATTGCACGTTTCAGAGATGTTGACCTCATCTTTGTGAGTTATGCCAACCTAGTCTAAAACATTTCTGACAAAATATTTCCTGTCTAGCCTTCAGAGACTACTGTCTACAGATTTTGACAAAGTTCACCTCTGATTTAAAAGCAGTTTTGTCATATCTAAAGAAAGTGTTTAATGTTTGGGTTTTGGTTTTTTTTCCTTTTTTCCCCATTTGTCTTGTCTGTTTGCCCCTCCCCGTGCCCCAGCTTTCTGCCCGTCTGCTTACATTTAGCAGGAGTTCTGAACTAGGAGCTCTCTTGCATTTTAATATGGTACAGTTGGACTATGGCAAGCAAGATGTTATTTATGTGGAATTTCTTACCTGACTTTATAGTTAAGTCAATTAAATCCTCAAGCCTTTGTACTAAAAATACCAGTAATTTCAAAGAACAAAGTCAAAATTACTAGATTCTCATAGTGTAATGATCCCCCTTGCTTTTGTGAAAGGAGACTTGTGAATGTGCAGAAAAGAGCCATTCAGTTATGGTTGTATTTGTATAATTGCAGTTTGGGTTCTTT